TTAATGCCCCCCTCCCCCCCTTCTCCTCCTCCCTCCCCCTCCCTTCTTTGCCCCTCGTTGCTGTAAACCTTCTTCTCCATCTTCATTACACTCTTCTATTTCCTTCTTTCTCTCCTCTCTCTCTCTCTCTCTTCCTCTCTCTCTCTCTGCTTCTCTCTCTCTGCGTACTCTCTCTCTCTCTCTGTCTCTCTCTTCTGCTCTCTCCTCTCTCTCTCTTCTCTCTCTTCTCTCTCTCTCTGTCTTTCATTTCCCTCATTCCTCTCATTTTTTTCTTTTCCATGTACCTTCTCATATTTTTTTTCTTAATATCTCTCTTCTAAATTTCCTTCCCATCTCCCTCATCCTCTTTTCTTTTCATTTACTACTCACCTTTCCTTTTCATCTCCCTCCTCGTTCTTTCTTCATCGTTCGCTCCCTCGTTCCTTCCCTATCTCTCAATCGTCTGCCTTCCCGATCTCCCTCCTTTATCTCCTTCTCCCCTACCTTTTCCCTACTCCTCTTCCAGGCTTCTCCTTTCCTTCCCCTCTTCCTTTTCTCTCATCATCACCTTCCTCTCCGTGCTCTCTTTCTTCGCCTTTTCTCCTCCCTCCCCCTCACCTCTCATCCTTCTCCTCGCCCAATTCTACCTCCTTCTCTTTCTCCCTGTCATCCCCACTCCCTTCACCTTTCCTCCCTCTTCTCCCTTCCCCTCCTCCTCTCTTCCCTCCCCCTCCCCCCCCCACTTACCTCTATTGTCTTACAGGTCCTTCTCTTCCCTGTAATAGCCAGGTATATAATGCTTCCATTTTCTCTCCCTCCTCCCCCCCCCTCTCCCCTCTACCCTTCCCTCCTCCTCCTCCCGCACTCTCCCTCCCCCCCTTTCACTCTCCCCCTCTCCCCTTCCTCCCCTCCTCCCTCCTCCACCCACCCCTCCCTCCCTCCTCCTATCCCCCTCTTCGTCTTTCCTTTGGTCGTGCCTTCGGTGTGGGTATGCTACTTGGAATGCAGGGAAACGGAGACACGAAATGAAGAGGAAGCTTGTGTTTAGACTGCGATAAGGAAGAACATTGTCATTTTATATGTAACTGAGTAAATAAATACATAAATAAATAGATTAGTAAATATATGAATAGATAGATAGATAGATAGATAAATAGATAGATAGATAGATAGATAAATAAAAAAAATAGATAGATAGATAAATAAATAAATAAATGAATAAATATATGAATATATATACACGCCTTGCGCACGCACGTGCACACGCCCATGCCCACACACACAGAAACACAAACACAAAGCACACACACGATATATAACAATATATTACATACAATATATATATATATATATATATATAGATTATATATATATATACATAATTATATATATGATATTTATATATATATATCTACATATATATAAATTATATAATATATGATATATATATATATATTATACATATAGTATCTATATAACATATATATAAATACATATATATATGTCTATATATACACTATGTATTTATATAATTATATAAAGACATGAAGAAAGATATAGATAGATAGAATGTGTATATGTGAATGTGAGTGTGTGTGCGAGAGGAGAGAGAGAGAGAGAGAGAGAGGAGAGAGAGGAGAGAGAGAGAGAGAAGAGAGAGTAACAGACAAACAGGACAGACAGACATGAGCGGGGGATGGCGTGGGAGCCAAAGGGAAACAAGAAAGACGAAGCAGACAGACAGAGAGACAAAACAAACAGACAAAACAAACAGGACAGGAAAAACAAAACAGTTGAGACAGACACAGACTGACATAAGACCGGGGGATGGGGATGGGGTAGGAGAGTCCAAAGAAAACAAGGAAGTACGAGGCAGAACAGACAGACATAACAGACAGAAGCGAGGAGGCGGGCGGGAAGAAGTTTTCCGCCACGTGTCTCGCTCTTACCTGACAAATATTCCTCTCATACGCCCGGTTCACCTTTTGATATTCTTTTAACTGTCATATCCTCTTTTTTTTAAACTCTCTCTCTGTCTCTGTGTCTGTCTGGTTATTTCTTTAGTCTTTCTGTCTGATTTTTGTCTTGTCTGTATTTCCTCTCTGTCTGTCTGTCTACCTCTCTGTCTGTCGTCGTCTGCCTGTCTCCTCTAATCCCTCTCTCTCATCGTCTCTTCCGATCTCTCTCTCTCTCTCTCTCTCACTATCTATCTATCTATCTATCTATTTATCCTGTCCTTGTATCCTCTCTGTCAGGGTGGGGGGGGAGTGGGTCCTGTCTGCATTCTCTATCCTATCCCCCCCCCCCCCTGCTCCTTTCAACTCTCTCTCCTGACCTGTCTCTCTCTCTCTCTCTGTCTCTCTCTCCTTCTCTTCCCCCTCTCCCTCTCCCTATCTCTCTTTCTCTCTCTCTCTCTCTCCCTCCTCTCTCTCTCTCTCCCTTTCTCCCTCTCTCCCTCCCTCTCTCTCTCTCTCTCTCTCTCTCTTCTCTCTTCTCTCTCTGTCTCCTCTCTGTCTCTCTC